GTCCCCAGGCCCCACACTCCGGTGTACCGTCCCCAGGCCCCACACTCCAGTATATCGTCCCCAGGTCCCACACTCCAGTATACTGTCCCCATGCCCCACACTCCAGTGTACTATCCCCAGGCCCCACACTCCGGTACATACTGACTCACCCTTAACCCTCCCCCAAGTGTCTATAACCCATGCCTGATACGCCAGTATACCACCCCAGACTTCATGACCCCACGTACATCAACACTTGTGTACCCATCTAGACTTGACACTTCCAGTGTTGTATACCCAGGATCAGCTCCCCCAGTGCCCAATGTACCAACCCAGCAATGTGCCCCAACCCAACAGTGTGCCAACCTAGCTGGATACCAACATGGCAGTAAACCATCCCAGGCTCCGGATCGCGCCAATAAAGTCTTGGGGACTTTATTGTGCTTTCTCTGGAAGTGGAGATGGAGAAGGAGAGGGAAGTGCCAGGGCTGGGACATTTTTTCCGGGATCGGTTTATTCCCAGTAGTTTGTTAGTGTCGAAAGTAGTTTTATTTTAATACAAACGCGGCTTAATCAAGAAAAAAATCTCCACACCGACCGACACCAAAACGAAAGTAAACATTTATTAAAGCTCCGGGGAGGGCAGGGGGCAGCTCCTGGGGGCAGGGGGCAGCTCAGGGATCCTGATGCCCCCGGAGCCCATCCATTCTGCCCTGAAACGCTGCAATGCTCCGGCGCCCCGGCAGCTCGTTCGGCCCGTCGTGCCTGTACCGGCTCCTCAAACACAAAACTCCAAACGGCGTGAAAGGCGGCGGATTGCTGGGGTCCAGCAATGTTTGCCTCTATCCAATGCCCACCCCCACCCCCAAGATAAACACAACATTATCCCAAAGACCATGTCCCCTTCTGAACCTCTTACCTCAACCTTCTCTGAGCTGAAACCCGCTGCTGGTTCACACTTCCGAGTTTCTCGGTTTTAATCCTCCCTCTGACTCCTCCCGAGTTCACACTCCAGCCTGTGACCACTATAGGCTGCTCTTACGGAATGTTCTCTCCCTACAAAGGGAGCAGCCTTGGTGCAAAGATTCCTCTTTCTGATTTGACCCTTGCCTGAAATGCTCCTGTACAAACCTGCTGCTTCCTGTGTGATCTTCACAAACTGCATTAAGAGGAAGCCCCTGAGATTGTTCTTTTCTCTTTCTCTTTCTGAGAAACCCTCAGATTCTGTTGAAAACGAAAGGATTGCGCCAACTGATGCGCCGAGAGAAAACAAACATGGAATTGGTAGAAACTGAAACAATTCACTTTCATGTCGAGTTAAGTTGTATATTCTTTTTCTCCCCAGTCTCCCACATGTATTCAAGGGTCTTTAAGTAACGCTACAGCACCTTAAATTCCAACATGTGGCAAGTGGAAACACCGACTAGGATGAAGTGCAGTGAATAATCATCCCCCATTCCCTGTTTTAGATTCAGGGACGCCCTCAATGACTTGAATCTTACAGCTCAAACACAGTTTGACCATTTAATCCCGTAGATTCTACCCTCTATGTGAAGATTGTGAGGCATCAGCTGATAAAATTCAATGAAACCAGTGTTCATGGGTTTCCTCTGTGTCTGTCCGGCTGCATCTTAATCTGCACAGTTCCAACAGGCTAACTTCACCCTTTTCCTGCTTAATAATTCTCAGGGCTAACACAGGCAAATGGGACTAATTCAGTAGATAAAACCCGGTTGGTGTGGATGAGAGATAGTAGGAACTGCAGATGCTGGAGAATCCGAGACAACAAGGTGCAGAGCTGGATGAACACAGCAGGCCAAGCAGCATCATAAGTTGGGCTGAAGGGCCTGTTTCTGTGCTTTATGACTCTATGACAAAGCATACAGCCATTTCAAGGTCTATTGATATCAATGAAATTATGAATAGACATCTATGCTGTGGTGTACTGAGGGTGCATGATCTTCAGAGCCATGTTCACTTCCTCGGTGTGACCTGGTTCCTGATGCTGTTCTTCATAATTATCCTCAGTGTCCCTCTCTCCTACTCCTTAGCTAATCAGTCTGAATGTCACTCAGACTATCTACCCTGCAATTAACTCCACAATGCTGGAGACATTCCCTTCCATCCCACCTTCAAACTGCCTTAACTTTGCAGCACTTTGACTTCAGTACGCAATGTCAGCTTCACAATGGCTCAGGGTAAAGGGTTCTGGCGATCTCAGAGCCGCCATCACAGCTCTGTATAAACTGTTTAAAATCATAAAGCCCCTACAGTGCAGTAAAAGAAAGAAAAGTTGGATAGGCTGGGACTTTTTTCACTGGAGTGTAGGAGAATGAGATGTGACCTTATAGAAGTTTATTAAATCATGACAAGGTTTGAACTGAAGCAGCTCTTGGATTTCTTGTGTCTGATCTGTTTCTTTGTGCAAGCCTCAAGCCTCAATGGCATTTTGTTACTGCTGTCAGAGCAGTATTAGGCAATTATGTTTTCACGTTGGAGATTTTCACGGATGTTATTAACAGAATAGATAAGGAGATATAGATAGGATTAGTGGTAGTTGTCCTTTCCCTAGGATGGGAGATTTCAAGACTAGGTGGCACATTTTTAAAGTGAGACGCAAGAGATTTAAAAAAGACACGAGGGGCAATCTTTTTTACACAGAAGATGATTCAATTGTGGAATGAACTTCCTGAGGAAGTGGTGGATGTGGGCACAATTACAACATTTAAAAGACATTTGGATAAGCACATGAATAGAAAAGGTTTGGAGGAATTATGGGCCAGGAGCAGGCAGGTGGGATTAGTTTAGTTTGGAATTATGTTTGGACCAAAGGGTCTGTTTCCATGCTGTATGACTCTACAAGTCTGCACCTGCTCTCTGAAGAGCATCCCACCCAGTCTCAGCTACCTTATCCTGCATTTACAGTAGTCAATTGACCTATAGGTCCCCTATCCTGATAACCTCACATTTCTCATGGTTAATCTACCTAGACTACACATTCCCTAGTCACTATGAACAACTTAAGCATGGCCAATCCACCTAACCTGCATTCCTCTGGGAGGAAACCCACACAGACACGGGGAGCATGTGCAGAATCAAACCCGGGTCCCTGGCACTGTGAGGCAGCAGTGCCAACCACTGAGCCACCGTGCCTCCCCCCCTTGAAATCCTCTCATGATAATTGGTAATAGACGTGAGCCAACAGGAAAATCTTTTTTGGATCATTTTGTGCAACTGTACAGCCTTGCAATTGATCACAGCTCTCAGATGCCATTACAAAAATGAGGTGTTTGAGTTATCCCAGAGTAGGGTCCCCGAATGACACTGCTTTGCAGTTGTTTCCTTACACATGAGTCTTGTATGACCTCTTCACAGCAGTTTCAGACCAGCACGAGTCATACATTTAGCTTACAATTCCCACCAACTGACAGCTTCAAATCTATCAGTGACATTGCTGAAGTTTCCAGTGAGACCAGGATGAGATATTTCCTCACATCTCAGTTTGTGGTCCCAATAGCTGCTGATTAAACTTTTCCGTCACCCATCTCTAAGCCTGCTGTGTGACCAAAGTGAAATGGATCTTCAATCACACGATGTGTCATCTGACACATTTTTGCTTTTACTGCAAAAGAATGTTCACATCTGATTTATTTTAAAGAGGAAGTTTATGTAATAGGATGCTGACCTCTCTGTAGTTCTGATATTTTCATGAATGTAACACAGCATTCGGTCTCTTTCTCATCCCCAACTTTCTTCTTCTCACCATTGGGGACTGTGCCTTCAATCTTTGGCTACAATCTTTGGAATTCCCTCCTTACCCCTATCCCCTTCTTTGCCCTCCTTTACAACGCTCTTGAAACCTACTTTGTTGGTGAAACTATTAGCTATGTTCATGTCTCCTCCTTTAGCTCAGTATTCAATTTTAATCCAATGAAGCATGAAGCATCCTTGAGTTGCTTTCCAATGTTAAAGGTGCTGTTTAATTCAAGTTGTTGTTGCTTGTCATACCCAAGGCCCAATGATTTGAACTGAGCTGAGGAGCGGTGCTGATGTTGTAATTGTATCCAGCACCCCTGATGTAGGGCTGTTTGTGGTGAGGTGAGTGAGGACTGCATTGACATCAACCATAACCCTCTCAATATCTATAACACTCAATATAGATGGCCACTTTGTTTTCTTTATTCATTCACAGGATGTAGGCATCACCATCTGAGTTATCTATTGCCATCCCTAATTGCCCAGGAGAACATGGTGGTGAGTTGATTTCTTGAACCATAGCAGTCCTTAGGGACCCACAGTGCTGTTCAGAAGGGAATTTGAGGGTTTTGACTCAGCGACAGTGAAGGAATGACAGACATTGATTCCAAAGCAGAGTAGTGAGTAGTTTGGATGGGAACCTGCAGCTGGTGGTGTTCCCATGTATCTGCTGCCCTTCTCCTTCCAGGCGGAGGGCCCAGCTACCTCTGGAGTGTCCCAAGAGGAGATTTCTGAGGGGCCTTTGTGCGGTTCTTCCTCTAGTTGGGTACCTCCTGGCACCACCCGGCCTCTTTGTGAGGAAGGGGCACCTGGAGTGGATGGATGAGGGCAAATGACTGCTGCAGATCTGTGCGTGTCTCCAGTAGACCATGAGGGTGCCAGACTGGGCTCTCCATGGCATGGTGACACGCTCAAAGCAGTTGGGTCCCCACAGTGTAATGGCACTCCTGCAGCTCCTAGGTAATGAGATCCATTGTGTCTCACATTCTTGTCCGCTCCCCTGTGTATGGGGATTACCAAAACCATAGAGTCCTCTCCTGTCTGGGCCTGAGCAGGTTGTGCTCCCAAACTGATTGAGGCATCAGTACCTGAGCTGGTGAAGGCTACAGGAGGCAGCCTTGCCAATGCTTCCTCTCTTTGGGAGTAGTGAGCCAGACGGTGGGGTTCATGTGAGAATTGTAGTGGAATGAAGACTGGTTCCTACAGGGTTGGAACATAGGAATGAGGAGCAGCAGCAGGCAATTCAGCCCTTTGAGCCCACTGTGCCATTTAACATGATCATAACTGACCTTATCCTGGTTGCAACTCCACTTTTCTGTCTGCTCCCCATAGCCCTTTGTCCCAGTTTTCATCAGAAACATATCTATTTCTTCCTTGAATCTGTTGATTGATTCTGCCTCCACTGCACTCTGGGGCAGTGAGTTCCGCAGGTTCACAACCCTCTGAGAGAAGTAGTTCCTCCTCATTTCAGCTTTGAACAACCTCCTCTCACTCCAAATCTCTGACTTCTTGTTCGAGACTGTCCCACAAGGGGGAACGTCTATTCAACATCTACCTTATCAATCCCCTTTAGCATTTTATTTACCTCAATCAGATCCCACCCGCAACCCGCCCCCCCACCCCCCCCATTCGTCTGAACTTCAGTGAGTACAAGCCCAAGATATTCAGCTACTCCTGTTGCGACAGCCCTTTTATTCCTGGAATCAAACTCCTCTGAACCTCCCCGAGGGCCACCACATCCTTCCTCAAGTAAAGAGAGCAGAACTGGGACACAGTACTCCAGGTGTGGTCTCACCAATGCCTTATATAACTGTAGCAACGTTTCTTTACTTTTATAATCCAGTCCTTTTGCAATAAAGCCAGGATTCCATTTGCCTTATTATTATATGCTATACCTGCATACCCACTTTCTGCTATTCATTCACAAAGACACCCAGATCCCTCTGCACTGACACACTTTTTTGAACTACTTCCCAATTAAATAATAAAATCCCCTTTTAGTTTTCCTCGCAGTTAGCCACATTAAACTCCATCTGTCAGATTCTGGCCCATTGTCCAACCCTATCCTTCTGTAAACTCTTTATCTCCTCATCACAGCCTGCTTTCCCACCAATTTTAGTTTCACCTGCAAAGTTTTCTATGTTACATTCTGTCCGTGCTTGCAGATCATTGAGATAGATTGTAAATGGGATTGTCAGCAGGACACAGAGCTCTCTGCATCCCAACAAGAACGATCCCAGTCTTGTCCTTGTGAAGGTTCGGCTTCTCTCCTCATAGGGACTGAGAAACCAAATGTCGGGCATGTCTCAACCCATTCTGGCTCTTTCCACCTTGTTCTGGGCTGTTTTCTCCAGGAATGAGGTGAAGGGAGAGATTGAGTGAGTTGGAAGTGGCCAGCCCAGCTGTTAGTGTAGGTGAAGGTGTGAGAAAGGTGGTGAGGCGCCCAA